ATATCCGAAGGGTTCATCGGTGAATGATGACATTGATGAGGCTCACACGCATCATTTGACCAGGCGGTTGATCTAGTTCAGAAGGCAGGACGTGGGGCATTGATGGCAAAGGCTGACATGGAGGCGGCTTTTTGATTACTGCCAATCCACCCAGATTGTCACCATCTGTTGGGTTGCATGTTCAATGGGACTTATTTTGTGGACCTTTGCTTGCCTATGGGTTGCTCCATTTCGTGTTCCTACTTTGAGAAGTTTAGTTCCTTTTTGGAGCGGGTGGTGAAGGAGGAGTCGGGGGGGGGGCTCCTTACTACATTATCTTGATGACTTCTTGTGTGTGGGCATGGCCAGGTCAGACCATTGTGGTCATACCTTGCGGTCGTTGGAATGGGTGGCTCATTCGTTTGGCGTGTCCCTGGCATCCAACAAAACGGTGGGTCCTACCACATGCCTCAGTTTGATTGGGTTGGAGATTGGTTTGGTGGAGGGCGAATGTCGGCTGCCTAGGGATAAGTTGAACTCACTTCAGAAGTTAGTGGTGAAAATCCGTGGATCCAAAAAGAGAACTGCAGTCCTTAATAGGCAGTCTAAATTTTGCGTGTAGGGTAATCCCCATGGGACGAGTTTTTTGCCGTTTTCTGGCAAAGGCTACTGGTGGAGTTTGGTCTCTGTGGCACTTTGTCAGGGTATCGAGGGCCATGAAGGAAGATATTTGGGTCTGAGAATCGTTTCTGCATGATTTCAATGGCCAGGCAGCCTCTTCTGAGGATATTGAGTTGTTCACAGATGCTTCAGAAAACATAGGTTTTGGGGCATACTTGGAGGGCCGGTGGTGTGCTGCTCAGTGACCTGAGGCTTGGAAAGCAAGTCATCTCATTCGTAATTTGCCTTTTCTTGAGTTGTTCCTATTGGTGGTGGCTTTGGCTCTGTGGGGAGAAGTCTTGTGGAACAGAAAAGTCATCTTTTTTACAGACAATGTGGCGGTGGTTCATGCGGTCAACAACTTATCTGCTTCTTTGGTCCTGGTGGTACGATTATTACGGCAATTTGTATTGTTTTGCATGTCGTTTAATATTGGTTTCCGGGCATGTCACGTGCATGGTCTGCTGAATGTGGTGGTTGATTCCTTGTCTCGTTCACAATGGGACAGGCTTCGGATGGTGGCCCCGGGGGCATGGGAGGAAGGACAGGCTTGTCCGGAGGTGATGTGGCTTGGATGATTGATATGGAATTCTCTGGCGACTGGCATGTGGACTGCTTATATGAAGGTTTGGGATGCCTGGGACGAGGCGGTAGGTTGCACTGGAGTAGCCCAGTCAAAGGGGGGGGCAGTTGGATACCTTGTTGTGGTTCCTATGTCGCTTGTTTGCTCAGCGTTTGTCTCCATCGGTGATCGACAGGAATATGGCAGCATTGGCATTTCTGTTCAAGCTGAACGGTTGGGACGATGTGAAGAAACATTTTCTCGTTCATCAGGCCTTACAGGGATTTCGGAGAGGTAAGAAATCGGTTGATACCAGGCGGCCGGTATCCTTTGAGGTCCTGCAGCATTTAGTGGGGGTGCAGCCAGTGGTGTGTTCCTCTCCTTTCGAGGTTAGGTTATTCTCAGTCGCGTTCTCGTGGGCGTTCTTCGGGGCATTTAGGATTGGTTCAACACTCGGATGTCGAATTACAGACAGATAAGGTAGTGATTCGATTGGGCCATACAAAAACGGATGTGTTTGGTAAAGGTTGTGTGGTAATGCTTTATTCCCTGCCTGGGTCAGGAGAATGCCCGGTTTTGTGTGCATCACACAACAGAGTGTTTCGCCCGGACATCCCGGGTTGTTTTCTGGTACATGGGGATGGATCAGCTATGTCGCAGTTCCAATTCTTTCAGGTGTTTCGAATGGGTTTAACGGAGCTGGGTTTGGATCCTATGCAGTTTGGGACCCATTCTTTCCGGATAGGGGCAGCCTGGGTTTGGGTGAGGATATGATGAAACGTATAGGCAGGTGGGAGTCCATACAGTTTAAGTCCTACTTACACCCCTAGTACTTGGTTTAATGGTCATGGATTTGGGGTGGTGTTTGGTGTTACCTGTTATGCCTTGTCGCTGATTACATTTTCTTTTTAGGTTTGGTGGCCTGGTTGGTGGGCCACTCTTACATCTACTGAGCACAGAAGAGAGCCACAGTTCGGAGACAAGGAACACAGCTGGGCTTTCCTCTGGAGTTGGTGAAGCTGGAGTGGTTTGGTTTTTGGGGTTTTGGTTGGCAAGGCATTAGTGGGGAAATTTGCTGAAGGATGGCAAGGGGCAATGTTCCAGACATACTGGTAATCCACACTGGTGGTAATGATCTAGGCATGGTCCCTAAAAAGGAATTGGTCAGATGGATGAAGAGAGATGTGGACCAGCTACGGGAGCTGGCTCCAGGTGTGGTGATGGTGTTGTCCGAGATGGTTCCTCGGTTTCACTGCCGATATGCTAAAGATCCGGCTGCGGCGGCTCTGTGTCGGGGGCAAATTAATAAAATGATGGCTGTATTTATCAGACGGTTGGGTGGTGTAGCAGTGAGGCACAGGGAATTGGAAGGCATGCTTCCTGGGTACTTCAGGAGGGATGGTGTACATCTTTCGGATGTGAGGTGTAACCTTTTTAATTTGGGCCTTTAGGAAGGTATTATTCAGGCCTTATTCTGGTGTGGTGGGGGTCGCTCAAGAGCTTTAGGTGTCAAGTCCTGAGCTGTGGTGGGGAATGGCCAGGTTAAATCGGGGGATAGATGGAGGAGGAAGTGAGTATCCTGAGGTTTAGTGTGGAGTAGGCAGTGTTATACGAGGTCGGTAGGTTCGAGCCTGTTGGTGGCTCTAAACCTGGGGGTGTAGCGGTGTCTTAGTACACCCCTACATTGGAACTGGTGGGTAGTGGTGTCTTGGTACACCCCTACAATTGATCTGATGGGTAGTGGTGTCTCGATACACACCTACAATTAATCTGGTGGATAGCGGTGTCTTGGTACACCCCTACAATTGATATGGTGGGTAGCGGTGTCTCGGTACGCCCCTACAATTAATCTGGTGGGTAGTGGTGTCTTTGTACACCCCTACAATTGATATGGTGGGTAGCGGTGTCTTGGTACACCCCTACAATTGATATAGTGGGTAGCGGTGTCTTGGTACACTCCTACAATTTAATATGGTGGAAATGTGGTCATAGTGGACGGCCAGTTTCTATGTTAATATGTTAATTTGAGTGTTATCTATTGTTATTATTGAGGGGTCATTGCCAGGGGTATGTTATGTGTATTGGGGGATGTAGACTTTAATAAGATTTGTTGGCAATGGCCCTATTTGTTATTACTTAATTAATTAATAATTAATAAAGCTGTGGACTAATATTTCCAACAGTATAACCTGTGTCTGTGTCTTAATGGGATTTGGGTAAGTTTAGCGCATATGCCGGCAAATTCGACTGTGCGTCTGTCATGACAAATGGCTTAAGCTGAGGCCTTCAGGCTGTCTGAGAGTCGTTTGAATTGCAGTGCTAATATTACTCAGTACTGTTTTTAGGTCTGAGGATACTTGCAAATATCTGCAGTGACAAGGTTAGTTATTCCTGCTATAGGTACCTGTAGTACCTGAAACAGATATTTAATATGTTTTCAAGGTAATGACACCTATGCAAATAGCAACAAAGGCTGATATTTATAATAACATAATTTAAGGCCAAACTGCTGTACTCTAATAAGGCAGTGAAAGGGTAAACATAATTGAGTAAGTCTGCGTAACTGAGGAATCGATTGACTTGTCTTCAGTATGTAATTATAGGTGTAAAATGTAGTATGGGGCACCATGGACTAGCTATCTCTTGTGATAGCTACAATTGACCTTTGAAATAAATTAGACCTTAAATGTCAGGCTCAAAGTGTGCCTAAAAAGCCTGCTTGATAAAGGGGTTAATATAATATAGAGTAAAAAAAAAATAGAATTACTCTTCTAAAGTAATGATTGATAATTAGCCCTGCGTCTATGCAAAAATTGGTCTTCGTTTTGCAAAAATTATTGTCAATAAGATTTTGGAGAGCAAAAAAGAAAAAGATTTTGGGTTTCACTCAAGAACACTGATAATGGATTCCTGACTGTAGAAAGTGTACAGGCATCCCTTCGCTTTGCAGAGTAATTATGTGATTGTTGGCATTTCTCCTCTCGCACAAAAATGGGCTTCTAATTAGACTATTATTAAAAGTCATTTAGGAAATTGCTGCAGCTATAATGAATTGAAGGAAATCACTGACAGGGGACTTTGTGTATTAAAAACCATAGCTGGATATGGTACTTGAAGAGACCCTTTTAAAGGCAACATCTTCTATTCCAGAGTAGAACATTTTAGCAACGTAGGAAGTGAAGGGGTAAGGGTAACTGATAACCCAGATAACGTTGAGATTGGGGCGTTAGAGCAGACATCTCTCCTACTCATGACAATTTAGTTAAGGCACTTCCTTCAATAGTAGAGTGCTTAGGTCCTTTTTCTCAGGACTCAATGTTGCGTTTATTTTAAATAAGTGTCAAATGGGAAAGTACAGTTGGGTTAACTTTGCATAATGCATATCAGTAAAGTGAAATTTTATTTCCCCTAATTCACCATTATTCACATACAACCTATTATTTAGAGAATAACATATTCATAGAGAGTCCAGCCTTAATCAGCCAGTCTCCACTCCAGAGCTGGGATGAAGGGGACAATATTCCGCACGTCCCATGAGCAGCTTGCAATGGAGTTGGAATCTCTTTGCTGGTTAACACCTAGCTCTGCTAGAAAGGAATTTGAGTCCTCTCATTCGGTAAGTCGGGATGTCATACCTCCCTTGACGCAATGAGGGTATGTGATGGGCCCATTTTTATTTTTTATTTTGGCCTCTCTGAGAGCTTGAATGACCCAGCAGGCTGAGCACCTCCAATCCAGTGTGGCTTTAAACAAGTCCTGCAAGAAGTTGCATATCCTCAATTTTAAAGGGGCTTTGGATTTAGTCGTCTTTACAACCTCTAATGTGTCCCTGAATGACTGAAGGCAGAGCAGGACATTGGCAGACCAGTGTGTTCTTAGCCTGCCTGGGAGGCAAGAGAGCTGAGAAGAGAAGTCGGAGGAAATGTGGCAATTTGGCAGTGGTGACTGGTTCTGCTATGCCTCTGATTTGGAGGTTGTTGTGCCGACATTCATCGTCCAGGGCATCCAGTCGGGCCTGCATGGAGGCGTCAGAGGTGTCAGATCTGTTCTGCTGCATCAACATGGTGCTGTGATAGGGAGGAAATATCTTCCTTTGTTGCCTTAACCCGGTCAGTAATGGCTATAAATTGCTCATGCACCACCACCAGATGGGGGCTGAAGCAGCATGTATGTTAACCATAAGGTTCTCTGTGAGCTGGCTTAAAGTAAATATAACCAAACCAAATGTCAGAGGTTAGCTATAAAATGTTTACATGAAAAATGCAAAATTGCCCCTAGAAAAATACCCAGTTGAGTTTATTTTCTCCAAATACATATACTTTTCTGTGTACATTTGTATTTTTCAACTACTTTAGAAGCTACAATTTCAGCATACTAAATTTTAAGTTTACCTTTAAAAAACTTAACTTCTTGCAATATTTGTCCTATCACTGTCTTATAACTTCCAATATTAAGTAAAATCCCAGATATATGAGACATTTTAACTATCAGGACCAGAAGCGTAACTAGAAACCACCGGACTCTGCGAAAATTGGTCTGCACACCCCCCATGTGTCTCATTCCCTCGCCTCCAGTCCCTCCATGTGTGTAATTCCCCCCCAGCCTCTCCATGTGTCTCTTCCCCCTAAAACCCACCATGTGTCTTATTTCCTCTACTCCAGCTCCTCCATGTGTCTCATTCCCCTCCAGCCCCTTTATGTGTCTCATTTCCCTCTCAGGCCCCTCTATTTGTCTCATTCTCCCCCAAAGCACCTCCATGTGTCTCATGTCCTCCCCCCAAAACCCCTCAATGTGTCTCATTTCCTCCGCTCAGCCCCTCCATGTGTCTTATTTCCTCACCCCCAGCCCCTCCATATGTCTCATTCCCCCACCACAGCCCCTCCATGTGTCCCATTCCTGATTCCTCTGATTCGCTTTTCTGAATCTTTTTTTGTTAATCAAATTTCGGGCCGCTATAGAGATGAAAACCAGTTTTCCTCATCTGATACACATTTTTTTCTGTACATGAGTCTAGGAAGCTAAGTTGAATATGGCCCTCAACGTATTCTGTATCATTTGTAGATTATTAATGTATTAATTAGCGTACCTATTAAACTTAGCGTAATGGCACTAAGGAATATGGTGATCCTTCTTATATACGGCAATAGTTGTATCTGTAGCTTTGCTGTTGTTGAAATAAAACATGCCATGTAAATAAACAAAAAATAGCATACAGAATTAAAAGAAACAATCCAAGATACCATAACCCCTACAGCCAGTTGTTCAATGTTTGATGATAGGAATAGCCTTGCAACCTCCAAGTTTGATAACTTTAGTGGGGACCGCTGGGTGACCGCTATCACCTTCTTTTAGGTTATAAGCCCCTGCAAGGAAATTTGACTAGCCCCACTAGGCTAAGCCCTTCAGGGCAGACTGAGCATTGTCAGCAGTGAGCAAAACCCTGCACCGCTAGGCTTAGCTCAGTCCAGGGAACATCCAGGCAGAGAGAAGGTGACAACAGGTATCCAGCAAACTCCAGGTAAGTTGTCAAGCCATTTTCAAACAGTTTGCTAACTTACCCTCGAAGGCTGCCTGGAGTACCCCTTGCACCATAACTGCTACAGCAGTCTATAATGGTTATAGCGCTTTAAGTGTTCCTTGAAGGTAAAAAAAAATATGAAGCAATAGAATATTATATATTATTTTTTACTTCTATTTTTAATCATAGCAAAAGATAGTAAAGGTAATTTCACTCCACAAATGATCACCTTTCTGTAAATCTAACTCAAGTGATATACACTGCTCAAAAACATAAAGGGAACACTTAAACAACACAATGTAACTCCAAATCAATCACACTTCTGTGAAATCAAACTGTCCACTTAGGAAGTGACAATCAATTTCACATGCTGTTGTGCAAATGGAATAGACAACAGGTGGAAATTATAGGAAATTAGCAAGACACCCCCAATAAAGGAGTGGTTCTGCAGGTGGTGACCACAGACCACTTCTCAGTTCCTATGCTTCCTGGCTGATGTTTTGGTCACTTTTGAATGCTGGCGGTGCTTTCACTCTAGTGGTAGTATGAGATGGAGTCTACAAGCCACACAAGTGGCTGAGGTAGTGCAGCTCATCCAGGATGGCACATTAATGCGAGCTGTGGCAAGAAGGTTTGCTGTGTCTGTCAGCGTAGTGTCCAGAGCATGGAGGCGCTACCAGGAGACAGGCCAGTACATCAGGAGACGTGGAGGAGGCCGTAGGAGGGCAACAACCCAGCAGCTACCTCCGCCTTTGTGCAAGGAGGAACAGGAGAAACAGACTCCATGAGGGTGGTATGAGGGCCCAATGTCCACAGGTGGGGGTTGTGCTTTCAGCCCAACACCATGCAGGACGTTTGGCATTTGCCAGAGAACACCAAGATTGGCAAATTCGCCACTGGTGCCCTGTGCTCTTCACAGATGAAAGCAGGTTCTCACTGAGCACATGTGACAGACGTGATAGAGTCAGGAGACGCCGTGGAGAACATTCTGCTGCCTGAAACATCCTCCACCATGACCGTTTTGGCAGTGGGTCAGTAATGGTGTGGGGTGGCATTTCTTTGGGGGGCCGCACAGCCCTCCATGTGCTCGCCAGAGGTAGCCTGACTGCCATTAGGTACCGAGATGAAATCCTCAGACCCATTGTGAGACCATATGTTGGTGCGGTTGGCCCTGGGTTCCTCCTAATGCAAGACAATGCTAGACCTCGTGGCTGGAGTGTGTCAGCAGTTCCTGCAAGAAGAAGGCATTTATGCTATGGACTGGCCCGCCCGTTCCCCAGACCTGAATCCAATTGAGCACATCTGGGACATCCACCAACGTCACGTTGCACCACAGACTGTCCAGGAGTTGGCAGATGCTTTAGTCCAGTTCTGGGAGGAGACTCACAGGAGACAAATTCAGACCTCCATGGGTTGAAAGATTTGATTTCCATTTTTTTATTTTTGTGTGATTTTGTTGTCAGCACATTCAGCTATGTAAAGAACAAAGTATTTCAGAAGAATAATTAATTCATTCAGATCCAGGATGTGTTATTTTTGTGTTCCCTATTTTTTTGAGCAGTGTATATTTTTTAGTTGAGGAAGGCATGGTGTATATTGATATCAAACAGCCTGGATGCTTAATCTCATTTACACACAGAGATGTTATTTGTAATGCTCTAATTTCATTTTCATCCAACATATGAGACCTGACACCTCTTCCCTCTTGCAGAATGTTTGTGCTCCAATGCCAGGGATATCCAGTAACATAAAATGTTAAAACTACCCTTATATGGCCATAGATCACAATCACCAATTTAATCCAACTCGAGAAATAAGTAGCCAAAATAAATTTTTGGTTTTTTTTTGACATCTTTCAATTTATAAACCAGTAAGTTAGGTGAAAGAATTTGTAAAAACAGGTTCCTAACTGTGCAGCGATGTAACTTCGACAGCTGTTGGATTGGACTTAATATAAACAAGCAAGCAATCCCTGCATAGTATTGTCTTTCAGCTAAGTTTATAATTTAGACAGTAAACAGAGCAAGTGCAAGGCTACAAAGGCAAAGAAGCATTTTACTGCCCTAATATGTGTCATTGCATGTGTACCGCTTTACCCCTCCTTGGTTTTTGCACTCACAACATTATTTTGGGGGGTGCCTGGCATCTAAAGAGAATACAAAATATTGTCTTTCAACGTCGGAAAGACAATATATTATAGTAAAATATGTGTATATATTATAAACCATAAAAATATATACATATTAGCTGTATATATGCTTATGATATATACACATATATTTTCATATTTGACACATATGTGGATATGCATTTGTACACATGTTGTGCCATTACTCACAGTTTCTTACAAATTTATTTTTAAAATGCACCATGACGCGAGGAGGGAAGGGAGGGCTGGAGCTAACATCAGAGCTGAGCAGCAGACAAGCCACCTCGAGCTCTGAGCCTAATGAAAGGAAAACTACAACCCAGCAAAATAACCTCTCATCCGATACAGGATGCTATGGGCCAAAAGCAGACAAAGGCCCTACAAGTCGGGATATAGGGGAGCTGTTGCAACGCTTGCAAACACCTCTGTGGAACAAAATGGTGCAAAATGGAACAAAATTCCCACTCCTCAGAAGACATTGCTTTTGACACAGGAAAGGGGGCAATGTGTGCTCCACCATCCAGACCCAAACCCCAGCAAGCCACCACTGGAGCTACTCAATTAAAGAGCATGCTAGCAAACCTGCGGACGAACATCGCAGCTAACATGGCCGGCATTAAATATGCTATCGAAGGCTTCACCTCAAGGTTCACCCTGGGGGCCTCATCAAGTTTCCAAGACCACAGAATTAACTCCATGGAGGTTAAAATAGCTGAGATCCAGCAGCAACAAACAGTCACCAACAACAAGGTAGACACCTTTGAGGATCAATGGAGGTGTTATAACCTCAAAGTCTGCAGCATATTTGACCCTGTAGGCGTGACAGACTTACCTCATTTTGTAAGACGCATGATTGGCACCTTGTTGCCACCCAAACAGGCCAAGGCAGTAAGACTAGATGGCATGTTCAGACTACTGAAGCCATCAACAGCGCCATCGTCCGCTCATACGAACCTGATAGTCCGATTCCAGTCCGTGCAGGTTAAGACCCTCTTACTAGCGGCTGCCCAAGGGTACACTCCCTTACAATTCAAAGGAGCCACACTGACAGTGTTCCCTGATCTAACAAGAGGCACCATTGAGTGGCACAGGGCCCTGCGGCCACTACTACCTTTGCTCCGTGACAGGGGAATACAATACTGGTGGGGGACACCGAGATTGCTGCTCTTCCAACATCAGGGCACAACACACTGAGCTCGCTGCTTCTCCAAGAGCACCCACAATGCACCACTTTATCTACATTAAACATTAATAATAAGCTTGGGCAGAATAATAACTTTCAACCTGAGAAGAAAGCTAGGCAAATAAGCAAGTAATGTATGGCTCTGAAAACATATTAGCTATTCATCAATGAGAACAATATAGTATTTTTAGAGGGAAAACGAACATTCAATTGTATGAAAAATTCTTACTCTGATTATTATAGGTTAGCTTACAAAGCACCAACAAACTCCCCTGGGAGATGAGGATGCAATACAACTCAAGTAGCTTTACCACCAACACTAGCTACAGTTTTCCTCTCGCTAGGCAGCCATCTTGAACTGGTTTTCCTGAGTGATGGTTAGACCATGCTCATGGGCATTCAGATGGCCACTAGTGTTAATAGAGACCAGGATGCATTATCTACCACCTTCTGAGTCTCACTTGGGTCAACCATCTTTATCTGGTTTGCAAGACTAATCCTTGTCATTCATTTTGCGTTACACTTTCTAAGAAAGACTGAAAATAGGTGACGTAAGCTATGGGCAGAAGAGAAAATAAATCCAGAATTTGCATCACAAGGGACAACAAAGCTCAAAGATAGACCATATGTAACACGTTTAATTTTACTAAATTAATCAACTGTTTTATAAAAGCTAACAAAAAATACATTTAACATAATATATTCAAAGCTGTGATAAACATGTAGCACTTTTGTAGGCCATTGTGTTCTACTTTTCAGCCTCATTGCTGGGTCTCCAGCTCTGATGTTATTTGTACTAATGATTAAACTATTTATATTTTCATAGCTGTTCCAGCAGTGACCTACAAGGCTACTCTAAAACGAATCAAATTTCTCGCTTCCCATAAAAACAAATGCTTGATAAATGAGAACAGACAAACAATTAATCCCCTTGTTTATTTTTCCTCAGGGTTGATTACTGATGAGACACTTCATACAATAAGGAATTCAAACTTTAAATTCCCAGCTGTTTACAAAGCATCTATAAGAAAGTGGCTCCACCTTGCATTTGCAGTCATTTTATACAGATGACTGTAGGTTTATTGTATATTATTATAAATAGACTCTCTAAGTATCATAAACACTACTACTCATTTTTGTGGCTATAAGTAAGGAGTATTTTAGTTCTATTCCCTCTGTTTGTGTCAGATTGGTTATTAGCAATTGGCCAAATCCAAGATCCTCCGTGTACCAAAGTCCTTATGCTGCGGCTCGGCTAAGGTGGAGATTCATTTCACATCACTCCGTTATCTATACTCCCTAGCCAGAGCTAGAAGTGCCAGCTAGGGAGTTTCCATAACAACCACAGTGCAAATGCTGTGGTTGCTATGGGAGGAGAGCAGAGGGACTTCCTGTGGGAGATCTTTTCTGCATGCCAAGGCATTGACTGAAAGCTGGGTGAAAATGTATTTTTAAACAAATAAATGGAGGCAAGTTGCACGATAGAGAGGTGTGGATTTCTATGTTTGATATTATTTTTCACACCTCACAAACACATTTAGAGGAAAAGTAAACAGTGACAAAGTGACAGCTCCTTTTTTTTCTTTTGGTGTGCAAAGTGGTACAGCAGTGCTTGCATTGCCACAACAGCATTCACAAGCGCGATCATAAGAACAAAGCATTACATAAGTATCGCATGAGTAGAACTTGAACATTTTGGCTTAGTAGAAAGAGGAACACACTAAACATACATGTCTTAGCTGAGCAGTTACGGTGTTCGAGTTCACTGAACGATGTTAAACTGTAGTAGGTTCGAGTAGTAAACTTATGTTATAGGACAACAATCTGGCGTAGTTCTGGTGAGGTACCGTATTATAAACAGTAGTGTGTTACAGGTCAAAGCGTGCGTGTAAAAGGTTGGGTATGCTCCTCCACGAACTGTGTGAGGAAAAGTGTATTAATGTTAAATAAGTGAGCAATTGAATAATTCGGAGTAGGAAAACATATCACTAAACTACCTGCCCTGGCGAAGATTATTAAGCAGCTTAAAAGCAACAGTAGAAGAGGGCTTTAGACAGGTAAGAGTAAAACGTGAAAAAAATGAAAAAATAAATGAAAACGTGTGCAAGAGGCATAACATAGACACAGAATAAGGCATATATTCCACGTCAACATTGTCTTAAGTCTGTTTCGGTGCTTCTTGGACCCAGGTTGCAGGTTAACGGGTAACGTGCCAGCCCCTTAATACTGTGAATGAGGAGTCATCTGATACCCCTGCGTGGGTTAATGCTGTGGTTTGGGTTCAGTCCTGTTGGGGGGCTAGTGCAGCATCGAGGAGGTGGGGCACTACTCCGGAGCCTTGTGAGAGCTGGTACCTTGTTGCCACGAGCCTGGGCGCCATTGAGGTCCAGGGTCTTCCCTGTCAGGGCGGTGCGGTGGGTCTCGCGGTCAGTTGCTGTCGGTCGTTGCTTCTGCCTTGTGGCCCTGCACCTGTGTGGCTGCTACCTGTGGGGTGCAGCCCTTGTTGCTCTCAGTCCGGGAGGGCATCTTGTGGAGGTGTCTGAGGTGAGGGATCATTGTGTGCCCTGAGATGGTTTCCCAATCCCCCTCTCTGTGCGCACGTGGACCCTTTCCGTCAGGATAGGGGTAGTCTGAGCTGTTCCAATATAGGTCAGCAGTTTGGACCAGAATCTTCAAATATGTCGATAGAGTCTCTTACATGTTGCATGTGCGTGCCGCTGGAGTCTGGGTCTGATGCGACTGCCATCTTGGAGACCACTATGCCTGTGGATTTCGTGAGGCCTTTCGGGCCCTCCGCAAGACATATGGTGAGGGGTGCTCCTTCTGGCGGGGCCGGGATATCCCCCTCCAGTTTTTTTTTGGGGGGGGTTAGTGTGGCTTGCTTGCTTGCTTGCTTGTGGCTCACAGCAGAAAGAGGAAAGCGGCTGTCCTTCCCCTCTGCCATCACCTTTGGGCCTCTACGTGCAGTAGCCGTTCCTGGTCGTTCCGGGCATCCACGGGTACCTACAGCCTTACCCCATCCGTGTAGCTTCATTGCGTGGGGTTTCCAGCACTGCAGCCTGAGTAATCATCAAGTGAGTAGCCTGTGCAGCAAGAACCCATGCGAGGCACAACTTATCAGCTTGCTGGCTTGGCTCCGCCCCCCGACAGCTCCTTTTTAAACAAAGCTCAAAATAACATAAAAAAACATACATATAAATCACAGATTTCTAGAATAGGGATTGTATAATATTTTATTTTTAGTAGAAGTATCCCCGGACTTGTCTTATTTACAAGCTAATGATGCAAACTGCCTTATGTACAATTTCAGTTACTGACTGATGACAGCGTTTAAAAGGGACAGAAAAAAAGATGGAATAGTTTCTTTGTCTCAAGGAGAAACTGAAAGAATGAAGTGCAATTATCAATATACAAACTGTTTGTTAAAACAATTGTTCATCAACGATGCACGTACGGCATGCAGAAAATAAATAATGTACAAAAATAGTAGCTTTGCAGCTCGGGGCTATGGGTGCCACATGGGAACTTGCAATGTCAAATGTTTGGTTATCAGAAAACACAGCCAAAATACTTATTTTTGGAAGTACTCTGGAAAACATAAAATATTCTAAAAGTTCATAATAAATTAAAATGAATACTAAAACACAACAAAAACGTAAGTGAGTGATGTGCTCAATATAATAATGAAAATGTATATAAGTGAAGGCAGATAGGCCTTTTAACCCCAGGGGAAGTATGTGTAGTTTGTGTGTGTTGCACAACACAAAGCTTTGTTTAGTTATGGGCCCCTGGGAGGACGGGTGGGCCAGTGCTCCACTCCACAGTTTAGTGGTTTTCTGGGGAGACATAGATCCAGGCCAGGGTTTTTTGGACCGTCTCCAACCCACTGCTCAGCTGCAGTTAATGAGCTGTTGCAGTGGGAATAATCCCCTCCTGGCTAGGCAGGAAAAGGAGAGGGATTGCTGGCTTCCTCCGAGGAAGCAGGTAGGAGAGAGGCTGTTCTCTCCAGATAGAGAGTCAAGGAGACTTGGCACTGGGAGTGCAGAAAGGAAGCAGTCAAGGCTGGCTTGGAGCACTGGGAGTGCAGGAGGAAGCAGTCAAGGCTGGCTTGGAGCACTGGGAGTGCAGAAAGGAAAGCAGTCAGGGCAAGGCTGGCTTGGAGCACTGGGAGTGCAGAAAGGAAAGCAGTCAGGGCAAGGCTGGCTTGGAGCACTGGTGTGATGGGATTCCATCATGGTCAAAATTTAGTAGGCCAAAATCTCCATGTGGCATATGTGTATGTTGTGTCAGTTAGTTAGCTACACGTAGCTAGGATACTGTCATCAGTGTACTGAGCATGTGCAGGAATGCAGGAACTGAAATTGCACTTATTTCCTTTGTCTTGGATGAGCCATGTGGTTTGACTAGATGTACAAGTCTATATTCTGCTCATTGATTGGTTAAAGGTATATGTGGGTGTAGCTATTAATGGGAGGAGTTATGGTGCTATATAAGGAATGTACACTATGTGTTGGTCTCTCAGATCATTTGGAACAGGAGTTCATCTGAGACCCGATCGGTAATGTGAATAAAGGCCTCTTACTTCCTGAAGACTTGTGTCCAATATCTCTGTGTTTGGCTTCTGCATGCTTACACTGCAACATTTCTGGTGCAATTGGCCCGGGAACCTCATCACACAGAAGCTGGCGCAGAGATTTGAGACGGTAAACTTTTACCAAACCTTCTACGCTACAATCCTGGACTTCTACTGCATGGACCTCCTTTCGTCTCGGCGCCACTGGCCTTTTGTCCAGGAGATCATCGGCTTCTGCGCAGTGAGTCCCGGATTGTTCCGTCTATGAGTGAACCCAGGTCCAGAAACTAACAGGTAAGACTGATACCGTTAGAGCGGTAGACCCACAAGGGGTTTTATATTTGGAACCGGTTATTGGTATTGGCCCCTTCATTAGAAGGAAGAAGCAAAGGCGCACTGCTTATCTGGATATTAGACGCTCTGTAGTCAGCCCTTCTAATATAGGTGGTTTGTCAGACTGAGTTCTGGTGTAAATAGCTCATGTCGGACACCAATGTCCTGCCTTGACTAGCATGCTAGGTGTAAATTTTGGTTGCTATGACAAGGGGAGATTGTTGAAACTAGCATACTCTGTTGTATATTATAGTTTGCTAGATTTCACCCTATCTTAACTAAGTGTGCTCTGTTGTAAATCCAGCCACTAGATTATTGATGGTTTCATGGACTAAAAGGGTATTGGTGTAAATTTTGCCCTCTAGTTCGCTATACGTGGTGTCTGGGCAGCGAAGAACTTATCAAATCTCTGGTGTATAAATAGATCGAAAGCTCTCGAGGTGCTGGCCAGTTAGAATAGTTGGGATTATTGTAAATGTTGTTAAATATATTGTAGTTGGTGAATTGGTTAATTTGTATGTCCTACTAGAAAGTTAGAGCTCTGCTGTCTAGTGGGAGTGTAAATTGTGTGTATAACTGTAAAATAGCGCACGGTACCATAACTACTGACATGTACCATAACCACTGACATTGTGTAAAAATTACTAACAATTGCTGTTTTATGTTATATGTATAATACCATAACTGTTACTAACTGATCTGTGACTTTAAAACTGTATTATAACCACTTACTAACTGAACCATAACCACTCACTGTAAAGATGAGGTTACTAGAATGTGATATAGTTGGTTAGTCAAAAGTTGATTTATAGTACGGATAATTGTAGAGATGAAATTGTTGAAATGTTATGTGATCGGTTAGTTTATATGGATTAATAGCGTGGATAGTTGTATGGTTTGAATACTAGTTACGTTGATAAGTGTATAGTCTTTGGTGGGTTTTTGATTTAATTTCGTGTGTGCGACGTCGTGATATTGTTGAGCATGTGAGGATCCTGTGTGTGTGTTTGGGCCTAGTGACTGCGCAATGTGTTGCTGGTGATAAGGCGATTGGTGTGACTTGAAACTGTGTGTATATTTGTACAGCTTTTTTAATCAGACGTTCTGTTGAAATAATCTTCTGATTCACAAGGCTGTTGGTCCTTTGTCTTGTATGTTGGAAAAACATAAATTTAGTCTTCACTTAAATTTAGTGCAGGGTGTACATGTGGCTGTAACTAGTAGGCCGGAATTCTATGATCAGTTTCTATATATTGACTGTTGGAAACTGATTGTTGAAAAACTGCCTTGGTGAGTTAAACTGTGTCATATGAGAAACAATGTAGCCATATGGTGGTTAGAACTAAGGCCTTAATTACAACCCCTCCCCCCCGGCATCTGATTACCAACCCCCCTATTCATCCTCCAGAGCCAGAGTAGCCACGCCCCATTCTTCCTCCCAAAACTGGTATAGTCAGTATTTGCACTCCCCCTGCTCTACTGTCCCCGCCTACCCACATACCTATGTAACGGGGTTTTGGGGGTGCCCCCTAGAGTCTTTGGGGTCCCCAAACCTAGTTAACTCACTATGCCTGACAGGCGGATCCTGAGCCTCCGCTATCTGGGAGCTGGGGTACATGTCTGCGGCAGTGCCTCCACCCAGTGGAGCATCCGGGGTAGGGATGTGGGGTCCCACTGGGAACATACTTGGTGCAATGAGACTGACACAGTCTAACTGGAACTAACTTTATATGGTAAGTAGCAATTGAACCAACATACATAGGAAAATACAATAGAGTAACACAGATAACAATGCAAATGTGGATTTTCCTCACTCACCCACCAGCACACCTGTGCCCCACCCCCTTATCTTCGCCCTAGCGGCCGTTGGTGCACATAGGAGAGTTGGGGCCCTTATAAGTCCTGCTCCGCAGGGTCACTGAAGCAGCCTCAGATGTGTAATGTCCGTCACGGGACCTCAGAGTCTTTACTGTGAGTGAGGAGACAGGTGCCCTGTGGTGATACAGGGAGAGGCTTGGCTTACCCTCACAACACGATTAACCAGGTCAGTCAGCAGCAGTCTCCTCTCACTGGATTCGCCAGACGTCTGGACTCAGTGCTTGTCTTCTTTTTCTTTTCTGCAGGTCCCTCTCTCAGCTGGTGTGATCTTGGGTGAAACAAGTTCTCTCAGCCAGGTCCTATCTCTGTGCTACAGTCTCTCACATGTCCTTTCTCTGGCTCAGCATGTGGTCACTCCTAGAATCCTCCTCCCTCAGAGCTGTGCAGGAAGTCCTGACAGGCCCTGCGATGATGCCACACTCATCTCCTGATTTCAGCAAGTCATGTGATCAAAGCTCAATGTTTTATTAACAGCATACTGAGTCCATGTGCCATCTACTGGGCATTTCAGATAATGCAGCCTGTGTAACTTCACGGGCTACACCTATCTGTTCCTGTGTTTCAAACTCTTGTATTTCTGTACTACTCCCCTTCCCCCTAATCAATGATCAATGGTATAAGATGGTATATTGTCCTTTTTTAGTTACTGGATGGGCCCCTCCCAGCTTTGTCCAAAATGTCCCCTTTTACTAAAATACAAACTGAAATGTTTAATTTACCTTAGAACTAAAGATTTAATCAAGCCTAGATATCAGGGTGGACAGTGATTAAAATAAGTAATAATAAAATAGGGACATAATTAATTAAAGTCTATTTGCTTCATTAGACTTTAGGGAGGAACTCTAGGGCCACCTACTGGCCATCTTCGGGAGTTACATTGATAATACATTGTTTATAACAGATAGAAGTAGGATTGCTTACCCTATTTTAATATATTTATTGCTATAAGGTTTTATTTTATGTATAAATATATTAAAAGTTAAGTTTTATTATTAGACCCATAAAGATTATTTTGATGCAATTACCCTCTGGTGACACCTACTGGTAGGTTTTTGATTTAACACTTTCAAAAAAAAAAAAACGTTTTTTCATCCACCAAATGCTGACTAATAAAATTAGCTCACCCCCTTACACCTATCTTACTACTCCCAGACTGGAACCTATTATTGAGCAGTCTTGCCGAAGTCCCATATTAACCCGACAACTGACTGGTAGCATCCAACCCCGACATTACCAAATGCCCCTCAGACTTACACCAGGCCCAACACACGTGGATGAGAATGGCCAAATACAACGGGCAGATCCAGTGTTTGTATATGTCCCCTTCACTACGACTGGAAGACTCATAACTCTTCATATACTGACAAACCTCAAGTTATGACAGATTTGGTTACTTCTATTATCCAAATGTCGATCCAAATTGGAACGTGAATGGTGCTGACATGCCCCAACTAAGAGCTTATCGGGAAGCCATAATTGCTGGCATGAAGGAAGGAGGGAAGAAGGCAATTAATATGTCAAAGACGGCTGAGGTGTTGCAAAAGGTTGATGAGTCACCTAGTGCTTTTTATGAGAGACTGCTTGAGTCAAATAGATTGTACACTCCTTTC